CCCCGCTTTCTCGTTGCTTTGCTCCGTCTCCGTCAGGGGACGAAGCCCCGGCGGTGTTGGACTTTCGTGGTGGCCACCGAGCGCCAAGTCTCGCTGCGCCGGTCCCGGGTGCGAAGAGCGGGAAAGGTGGGCGCGGGGGTCGGGATCCGCCTGCGGGGAAGTTGGGAGGCAAGCGGCCCGCTACGTCCAACCTAGCCGGACCACGCGTTCGTGCACAGCCTTGGCTGGGGTTCAGATGAACGCACACACACCCAGCAACACCCCCCATCGGACTGCCGCTGAACTACAAAAACATCAAAGGGATTTTCCCCTGGACCCGCCGACCCCCATCAACTCTAAAACCGCGATTTTCCCCCCCGACTGGAGGCTCTTCGAGGACCAAATCAGTGCGGGTGGGGGAGGAACAGCCAGGGAAGGAAAAAGGTCTTCTCTGGCCCAGGTGGGACTACGGATGGACTTCTCTCCCCCCGGCTTTATTTAAGACTATCGGGCTGGGTTGGAAAGGGCTTCGCCCCTCGAAGAGGGAATTGGGTCGCTGTGGGCGCAGGTGCCCGTTACGCAAAGCCGTCGGGAAATCGGGGAGTTGCGTCTGGCTGCCCGGTTCGTAGCGGGCGTGCGCCGAACTCTTGGAAAACAGAAAAACACCGAGGAGCTGAACGTAAGGAGGCAGGTCTCCTCGCTGTCGCTCTGCTGTGATTCCTGGATAGATCATAGTGTGATTGAAGTCATGTCTCTTTTTTGGGCGGGGAGGGCACAGGTTATTGAAAGTTGATCTTCATAAATTGAGCTGTCCCCTAATTCATCATCTAGGGATCCGCTTAGATTTTGTGGCGCTGTCCTACCCCGCCTCTCCACACTGTGAAGTAGGGGATCTGACTTTTTGGTGTGCTGTATTGGTTCTTCTTGAGAAGGCTTTGCAGCAATTTAAAAAGTTTTTTTTCTCCCCTCCCTGTCTCGCTGATCCCCTCTTCCTCACTTTGGATGCAGTTAACGGCGAGGTGCAAGTTTCTGTGCCCCATTTAATTTAATAAGGGACTCCGTGTGCGTGTCCATCGGGGACCGAACGGAAACCTGCTTCGCTGAGAGCAAAGCTGGGACTCGAGGGCCCTGCCTGCCCGGGTACTGTGTCTCGGTGGGTGTCGTTTTTCTCGGAACGGTTGCTCTCTCCATTACATAATGCTGGAGATCCATCCTCATGCGTGCGCGTTGTTTTTTTCTTTTCAAACTTTCCAAAATTAGGGCACGGTGCCTCTTAAATAAACCAAGTGAAAGCTGACCTGCCTGGATGCTCAGTTCATTGGAGCTGGGTGCAGAAACACGACGGTATTTCCTTTTTCTTAATTTCCTGGAGCTCTTTGTTTGGCGTGATGGACAGCTTTTGTCTGTTATTGCTGAGCCCTACATTCAAAGACAGGCACAGGATATGAGAGGCACCCAGGCTCTGCTCAGTAACAGCCTTGGAATTAAATATTGTCATTTATATTTAAGTAGGCTTAACTTCTAAATTAGTGAAGCTATAAGCTTTCACTAATTCCTTTTCTACATGGCTTTAGGTTTTTTTAATGTGGAAAAGGATTGGTTTTTCCTAAATTGGTGTAATACCCTGTCTTTTCTCTTAAAATACATACAGGCTATCTGGTATCATTTCCCTAATAAAACTCAAAGACGATGTATGAAATTCAAACCTGTGTTCTGCCTTTGTTTCTTTTGGGGAGTTCAGCCTGAGAATTTGGTTAAGTACCAAGAGTTGATCGGTTTTCATTTACGATTGGCACTGCACGGTTAATAAAACAACAGCCAGGCTCATCTAGCAGCAGCGAAGTTGCACGTGAGATCGGAGAGCGCGGGGTGTGCGCATATCGACCCGATATATGGATACCTAACCACGCGTGCACGTGTTTCCCAGCACCGATGCCTCAGGGGCGCTTATTCTGGCTCAAGTTGTTACTTAAGCTGCCACAGCACCTAAAAGCCAGGCAAGGCAGCAGCTTGTTGTGCTGGACGCTGTACATGTGTAAGGAAAATGACAGTCCCTTCCCCAAGCAGTGCCATGGTAATACACACACAGAAAGTCGGTACTCAGGCCTGATGATTTCTCTCTACCATTCTGAACACCCCACAGATCCTGCTGGAGCCTGGTAGGACTTGGGCATATGTAACGAAAGCAGATTTGGACCCAAGATCTCTCTTATAAACCCGATTCCTCCCCCTCTCTCACTAGACCTGTACCATTCCCGCCCCCCCCAGGCTTTACTGGTAAATGTGATGTAAACAAGAGCAGCTCTGGGCCCTCCGGCGGTAACGCTTGCTGGACAGCAGCAAAGACACTGTCTGCTACTTTATGCATAAAAATGAAAAACGCTCTTTTTCCCTCCCTCTTCTACCTGACTTGATTTCTCTGCCTCCCTCCTTTGTTCCTGGGATCTTCCCCTCTTGCCTTCTTCTTAGGGCATGTTAAGTGCACTGCACAGACGCCAGGCTGCACCAGCCCCTTCACAGCTGCGCTCTGCAAATACTTCCGAAGCGGTCCCATCCAGCGTGTGGTGTTTTTTTTTTTTATCCCAGCCCCCCATGCCGTCCCTTCCCCACTGCCCAAAAGTAACTTCTTTGTCTGGTGTGTTGAGATCAAGAGAGCCTGGCTTTATCACCATGGTGCAGCATTAAGATTCAAAGGCTGGCTCCCTGCTCCTATTGAAGTCAGTGGGAGCTTTCTCACTGACTTTGCTGGGAGCAGAATGGGGCCCCAAACGTGTGGTTTCTGTGTGAGAAGCGGCATGTTAGCACAGCTCCATGCTGAGACTGCTTCCCAGCTCCTGACTTTCTCCTGTTGAAAGTGGAGAGCTAATTCTGCATTGATTAGAGAGCACGCCACACATTTCATTTTGCAGATTGTCACTGCCTTAGCCCAGAAGACGTTTTCTTTTTATTTCTTCATCTCATGCTTGGGTGACTGAGTTTCTGCCCCGTGGTATCATCCTTTTATTCGACCTGACAAAGCAATCCGGAGAAGCTTGTTGCAGATGAAGAGCTTAAATCTAAACGAGCCTAAATCCAAATATTGGGAAAGGAGGAAGAGTCGATTGAGGTTGCTTTGAAATCACTAAAGCATTTGAACTTTTACTGGAGCTTTTTAGTTTTACAGAGTTTACAAACTAATAAATTATGGAGCAGGGCTCATGAAAACCTACCCAGTCATTTTATCCAAAAGAATATGTAACGTTTTGGTTTTTGCAGGAAAATAAAAATAATTGTTTACACGTGTTCAGGAGTCCTTGGCAAGCATATAAACCTGATGGTTAAGGAGGTGAACATGTCAATAATTGCACTTTAAAAGAAGAGAGGCAAGTGGGCTGACAGCTTGAAGAAAGCGCATAGCCTGCCCGTCTGGGGCTGCTGTTAGATCAGATGTCGCTGTTCCATCGCAACCTCCGCTCCATGGAGCCGAGTCACTTAACAATCCAGACCTACTCCAGCTTTGGTAATTTAAAACCGGAGTTTCATAGCAGAGGAAAGGATTCGTTTCAGTTTTGCTCATTGTTTTCACGAAGCTAATCGTAAGACAAAGGGCCGGACTTTGTTTTTTCCTCCCCCCCCCGCTTTAAACCAGTGCTTTTGCCAAAGGGATCTTGGCTGCTCTGAGCCAAGAGTGAGGATGAAAGCAGAGAGTGCCGCTTTTTCGGAAACTCTAGCATGTGGCCCACTGAACAGATGGCCCCTGATGGGGACCTGTTACTGATCCTGTGCTCTCCAGTACTTTACTGCTTCTCAGTATAACGGAGCACCTGATTTATCTCCATTCATTTTCAGGTGTGGAGTGGGATGTGATGAGGCAAAGGGAATTGGAGGGCGTGGAAGAGGCTAGTGCAGCCTGCCCCGGAAATGATATGAATATCTAAAGGTGCTCCCCTCCCAGAGACCTTGCCTTAGCTCACCTTCCCCAGCCTCCAGCCTTGTCTGTAGCATAGGCAGCATTCATTAGCTGTTGAGTTCAGGATGCAGGGAGACCTTGGGTGCTGGCTTTAGATGTCACAGGCTGTCAGGCAAGAGCAGGACCTTTGAGGCCTGTTAGTCCCCGGTAAGGATTCCTCTCTGTTCCTTCTGGCTTGCCCCTGTTGCTCAGACCTCATGCAAACTGCGATATGGTCCTCCTCTTTGTGGATGGTCCCAATTTTCATTCCCTGTGTGAAGCACCACATACCTGGGATGTTGTGCATAGAGGATGTGGGGCTCTCCACTGTAGGTGGCACTTGCTGGGTCCATGCTGGAGAAGCCCAAGAAAGAAGTGACCCACCACTGAGACCCCAGAATTATTGCCAATGCAAAGTGCTGATGAGTTTAGGTGCCCGTGCTGGGCAGTTCCTGTCTACAGTTAAGCTAGGAGGTATGACCACCTCCTCTGGCAGCCAGTGAGGAAGGTTCCCTTTTCATAGATGTTCGACTGGGCTCAGATGCAGGCTTGCGACGACCCTTGTGTTTTTGGAGAGGAAGGAAATGCCAACCTACCACGTAGTGCTATTGACTTTGCTGTGTTTGGAAGGCAAGGAGCCCCTCTCTTCTGGGCCCTTTCCTCAAGGATAGAGGAGGGGAACAAGGTGAAGACTGGGGAGAGGTCAAAATCAAGATAAAAAATTGGCTTGAAGGAAGAATGGGGGCCAAGGAGAGAAAAAGGATAAAAAGCAAAAAAAAAAAAAAAAAAAAAAAAGATAGACATAATACAATAAAAAGATGGCTTGATCCTAAAGTGAGGTTGGTTGTTTCCAGGTGCGGGGTAAAGCAAGGGAGTGTTACCCCTTTAAATGGTTTGGGAGCCTTCTGGCGGCCCTTGCAGTGTTTCATGTTTCAGGAGCAGCTGTATGGCTGCAGCAAGGCCTTCAGGTTTGCGCAATACGGTGGTTGGGTGGCAAGAGTGCCGTGTGCTTTCTCCACATTTTCTGCTGTTAAGTGCAGAATATGCAAGTGATGGAGACAAGCTGGGGTCACAGCAGCCTCTGGAACAGGGACTCTTCTGGCCAATATAGCTGGCCCAGCAGCACTGATGAGCGTAAAATAGGATAGAGGATGTTCCCAGATATGGAGGAGGAGAAGGGTGGACCTTCCCTTCACCCACTCTGCTTTGGAAGCAGTAGACAACTTGCTTTCTGAGAGGTTGATGAGTGTGGTTGTATTTTAAAGGGCTTGGGAGTCTTTGCTTCCTTTGAAGCATTCAGTTGTTGGGAGTAGGTGGGTGTATTCCATTCATTAACCTATGAATGAAGGGCGGGGGGTTCTCAAAGACCTGTGTCTAAAGGAGTTAGATGGAAGTTACAGGTCAAAGTTTTATGGGCAGAATCATAGCAAGTTACAGAGTGCAAGTTGGAGTGGATGCTGCTGTGCACGGGGCCATTTCCCTGTGCACTGTTAGAGCAGCCTTGGGGTGCATCTGATTGCTCTGGGCTGCATTGCACACCGCAGGAGGAGCTGCTGTGTTGGGCAGGTCAGTTCTCACTTTACCTTTGTCTGCCTTGTCTGTTTAGGCTGCATTTCACTGGGGCAGGAGGTTGGGCACCTGCAGAGCACCCAGGATAATAGGACTCTGCTCTTGTTGAGTCCTGAGACAGGTACCTTAGCCCTGGATCATCATCCTTCCAGTGCAGACTCCCGATGGCTGCAGCTATTTTTTCACAGAACTTTGGTGTCCTGAATGCTTCCTCCCTATTCTTCACCTGTAGCTGTATTTCATGTTTGCTGGCTGGAAATGGTCCAGATAACAACTGGACATTCATTTGGGGGCAGTCTCTTGCAGGGGAGCCTGGTCCTTCATCCCACACTCCCTCCATACTTGGGTAGAATCTGTATTGACCTCAGTAGCAGCTCTGTCTGCGTTAGGAGTGTGTGGGCTTACTTTATTGCTTTGCTACCCTTGGCTTATGCAGGGGCAATTCCTGGAGATATGTCTGTGCATGTTGGGAGTAGCCACTGCCAGGTCCCATATTTTCAGTAAGACATTTGGTCAGTCCTTCCAGTCCCACGGGGTTTGCACTGTGTTGTGGAAGTGCTGCCTGGTTGCTGTAAGTTGTTCAGAGATTTGGCCTGGAGAATTCCTGTTGTGCGGTATGGGTAGCTCCTCCTCTAGCGAGCAGTGGAAGAAGGGGCAGGGTGAGGCCTGGAGGACCTGAGATGGACTGGGCCACCTTTCATCACTTGGCTCTGCTACTGACTTCCTGTGTGACCTTGGGCAAGTAACTGAATCTGAGCCTCATTGTCTTTATCTGTGGAATGGGAATAATGCTAATACTTGCTTTGTCTTGTTTAGAATATAAATTCTTCAGGGGAGGGATGATTTCTCACTATGTATTTGCACAGGGCCCAGAACTACAGGGCCCTGCTGTGAGATGTGGCTTGGATGAGTTCCAGGAATAATAATAATAATAATAATAATATTAATAGGTGTAAAATAAGCCATTTTAATTGGAGCTTTTTTGAAAGCAGGATTGGGGGGTTGGGGGTGGAGAACCCAAAAACAATGTTTACTAAGTGGCAAGAGAAAAATCAGTGGAAGAAAAAGTTCTTTTGAAGCTTCCAAAAGGAATCACAAACAGCGTTCAACCACAGCAACAAAATAAAACTCTAAAAAAATAAAAAAAATAAAGGCACTTCAAGGTGTTTTAGGCTTTTTATTAATTCAGAACTCTCTCCTGCTCTCTACACTACGTAAATCTGGGAGTTCAAAAGCACTGGTAATAATTGGTTTCTCTCAGCATGCCTTGTGGCGTGATCAATATATGAGGAGTTGGGTTTGTTTTTTGTTCAGTAGTCATACACACTGTCACAGATCATATTGTTCAGGAAGATGTTAACTGTTTCTCAAAGGGGGACTTGCAGAATGAGCACTCCAGTCATTTTCTCTTGGCCTTTGTGTCAGTGCTAATAATACTTTTTTTTCTCCCCTGGTAATAGGAGGTAAAGCAATTTTCCCCTTTACAGATTCCAGAGCACAGACAGTTGGAGTTACGACAAGCATTTGTTTAATTGGCTAAACAACACCCAGTCCCTTTGACGAATAAGTCAAGCTGGCTGCCGGGGAGAAATTGAGAAATGTTTTCTATCCTGCACGCAGTGACTGCAAAACACACGCTAGATCGAGGAGTCGTTGTCATAAATCCCTCCTTTGCAGGACTTTGGCTGGGATGAGCTCAAGTGTGATACTCAGCACGGATTGGACAGGTGTGTTAGGACTTGCCATTAGACTTGTCTAATGAATGTGTGAGCCTGAATAATAGCCTCCCCTCCCTCCCCCCCAATTAATTAACCAGTTTTATAGATTGCCTTTGATTAGAAAATGAGGTTTATTTTCCCCCTTGCATTGAATGGACGTCTCAAGGGCAGCTAGAGCAGTGGTTCTCAACCAGGGTCCCCCAGCACCCCGGGGTCCCTCAGACTCCTTTCAGGGGTCCTGCAGGTTGCCACACAGTGTTAGTAGCAGGTGTGCAAATATGATGGACAAGATGAACCCAGAGATTTCAAGTAGGAAACCATAGTGTTAAAAACAACCTGCCCTGTTGTGGTTTTTCTGAGTTTGTTGCAAAAGAAGAATCGCTTTAGTATTTTTCCGTAGCCCAAAAAAGAGTGAAAACGAAGAGCTGACATTTTCTGAGAGGGCCTCGAGTCCAATGAGGGGCATCTTGAGTCTAAAAAGGGTGAGAAACTCTGCGACAGATTTTACATTTCCCCCCCTCTTAAATTACCTCCTTGCTGCACATCTACCTTCTTTTCCCGTGCGTCCATGCTGACCTCTACAGTAAACCCTCCTTTGTCCCATGGGGGACATTCCAGCGCGAACATCATCCTTCCAGGGCTCTTGAGTGTCCTGGCGAAAACTTGAGCTCAAAGTTTGGAATTTGCCTTCCGGATCTGGAGCCTGATAAGGGAGGTCTCTGAGGACCAGCCCCAAAGTCTTTGTAAATCTGTGCCTTCATGCAAGGGACATGCAAGTAATCCCACAGACATCCTCAAAAACTTGAATTTCCAGCATGTCTCAAGACAGGTGGACTTCAGAGGATTGTCAGAGACAAAGCAAGGGCTTTCAGGGTCCCTTGCTCTCAGGGGCATCTCTCCCCCATAGGTGCCTCGGCCAAGCATACGTTAGATCAGGCTGTCGGCAGCCAGAGCATACTGCCCTTGAGTGACCATAGGACTACTCAGGAAATAAAGTATCCCTGAACGCTTGCAGGGGAGAGCACAGCCCTGTCCCTTGTGGATCCTGATTGCTTATATAAGTAAGCAAGGCAGGGCCTTGGATCTTTTGCCCTTTATTGAGGCAAAATGTCCACACACTCAGAACCAAAGGACTGAAAGGGTTCTCCTGGGCCATCATGCCTAATAACCCTTAGTCGCCCAAGGGGCTCTGTTGCATTGGCTTTGAGAACCAAGCAGAATTAGGCCGTCTTCCATAGATGCTTTGGCTGGGTGAAAGCCAGTCCCTCCAGCTTTTGAGCCATG